CCTCAGTCGCATCCTCTGCGTCGCTCCCGCTTGCGCTGTCGTCGTCCATACCATCCCCAGAACGCCTATCCCTCCACTCTTGAAGGGCTTTGAACTCGTTGTAATGGGCTTCCCTGCGCTGCTTGAATTTCCTCGCTTTCTCCTGATCAACACAACGGAAGTCGTTCGAAAAAAAAACAGACATTCAGAAAAACAAAGAAAAACTGTAGAAGCACAACACCCGAAAGGCATATGTGCACCACCACGTGGCGGGACAGCGATGGGAGAGAAAGACTAGACCAACAAAGCAACAGCCGCGAAGGTTTAAACCATTCATTTATCAAGAGCGTCAAACAAAAAACGCGGCCCAAAACATACTAGACCGTGTTCAGGCTGAGCCCTGTAATCGCGGAACCCCCCAGTCTTTGCGGTTTGGGTGGTACGGGAGGAAGGAGGAACTGGATCGAGGTCAGAAGCGTCAATGCTACTCCTGAGAAGAGAGCAAGCACGCTGGAGAACGCGACGTTGATGATGTTAACCGTCTGTTGTCTCGACCGACAGCAGTGCACGTGGTTTCGCAGAAACATTTGTTGCCCTTTCGGCAAGCTTCGAGCATCACGAAACCTTCTATCCAACCAACCCGACCTTTCGGTCCATCCTGAAATATCAGATTCATGAAGCCTCGGCCTCATGTCACGAAAGAACGATTGAGAAAACTTCTTGTTCACCGGCTTCTTAACCCACGCCGCTGCTTCGCCGTCCGAAATACGAACAATAAAAAAAAGGGCAAGAAGACTCCCACCGCCGGCGAGACCAAGTAACTCTTGATTGACAATTCGACGTCTCTCAAGATAGCCCTCCATTCTACGCACGAGCTCGCCCTTAATCACACACCCCGCTTCCCAAGAAGCTTTTTTAGGCGCGTCCAAAGTCTAGGAGCCTTATCGGAAACGCCAAGGACAAAAACTGGCACCCCCCGCTGGAAAACCAGGAAACTCTCCACAGGCTTCCTTCGCATGTCCCATGGGAATGACGTGACTGGGTGTTGAGGGCGAGGCCACCAATCACCCTGGCTTAGCCCAAATCGCCAACAAGGAATATGCTGACAAAACCAAGAAAAAAAGGTCACTCGAACGCTTTCCACCCTCACCAAAACAGCAGTTGTGCTTCCTTTCCCTCGCCTTACGCTCCGCCCTCAGATGCGCACGCCCGAGTCGCCACCCATTATCTACTGATCACCATCATACATCAGCCAGTACTACCACGTGTGGTACCGTACCGTACCGTACCGTACCGTCTTCCCACGTACCGCGTGTGTGTCCGCCCTGCTTTGCTGACACCCCCCGTGTATCGGTTATCCTACATACAAAAACATCGCCGACAAAAAAAAAACGCCAAGTGCAGCGAGGGAGCAGCGCTTGTTTGTGACCTTCAAAAACAACATAACGTAACCGTCAAGTGGTTCGTGGGACGCACACACAAACACACACACACACACACACACACCTTGTCCTCGCGCGAGCTTCCCTCCGACACTTCCGAGTCCCACCTGGCCTGCCGCTCTTTCCTCAGCGCCGACTCGCTCGGGAGCGCGGCACTCACGTCGGCCATCACCTGTCATTTGTGTGTATGTGTGTGTGTGTGTGTGTTTTTTTTTTGTGTGGATGGGTACGTTTTTTTCGCACCCGGCGGCAGCTTTTTACTGTTCATCGTCGCGCGTGATTGTTGAGAACCCCGCGCGTGGTTGCTTTGAAACAGAACGCATTGCTGTGTCTCGTGGATGTTCTCGTTGCACGGTATAATGTTAGGGATCGAAAACAAAAGCGCACTCGCGATGTAGAAGCGAGGGTGTCAGCACCGCGGCGGTATGGGAACACCACAGAGAGCACAGAGGAGAAAATAAAATTTCGCCCGCTCCTTGTGTCAAAACGAGACGCACATACGCAAAAAATGAAAAAGAGAAGAAGAAAAAAAAAGCTGGAGTTCGCAGCTCGCTGTGGCTCGAAACATCACTTGCCCTGCGGTGTCACCGCTCTACACTTCGTCTGTAGCTTACCTTCAGAATTGATCCTCGCCTATCTCCGCTCCCGCTCCCGCTCCCGCTCCCGCTTCGGCTCCGGCCCGCTCGTGGGGCAGGGCTCCCTGGGGCGGAGCTTGCGGCCGACAAGGACGGCCCCTTGCCATCTGAACGCCGAATCAAAGGGGAAAAGGAAAGCAGCCTTGTCATCAATGAAGGTCGGGATCTGACATTTCCATGACATTACGGCAATAGGACAAGGTCCTTTGCCGCCCGAACGCCAAAATCAAAAGCATCCCCATCAACAACCGTCGATACATTATCAGGGTGTTGACACTTTGAAGTCACCACCGGGCAGATACCGAGCAACCACGCAAACGTCGGAGGGAGAAAGAGAGACAGGTCGACAACCTTTCAAAACAGTTTATACGTGATTTCGATAGAGTAGGCAATCCATCGTCTCTTCTTTCCAGCCGCACAAAAGGTACAACGGCGAGGAACAACGAAAGAAGAGTCTTCATGAGGGGGGCAAACAGTAATTTAGGCCACGAGACTTTGTCGTCGAGCACCCTGGACGCGAGCCGAACGCGGTACAGCAGTACTGTACCTGCGCTCTCGCAGTCTGAGCCCGTCGACGACTCCCCTGACCCGTAGTGGTAGGGGGTAGAGGGTTCGTCTATCTTTTGCCTGGTCCCTCTGAGCTTGTCGTGCTCCGCGATCGTGGGCTCGTCCCAAGTGATGTGCACTTCGCTGTGTAACAGAACAAACGTGCAGAACAGGGTCAAAACAGCACGCGTCAAGCATACTAAAACACCCACATCCATAGAAGACGACTGGTGCAGCAATCCATCGAGGGAAGGTCCGCCGGAAACCTGAACACAGAGGACAGAGGGACAGAGCAGAACGCATAAACATACCTACCAACACAGGCATCATTCGTTGTTTGCAGGGCCATACTCTGACGTACGAGCATATCTTGGGTGCACCGGTTGCGCTCTATTTTTGGTTTTTCTCATCTGTGTCCAGGTAACATCGTACACGAACAAAACTGGGTGACATCGTAGCATGAGGTCCAGCATTCCAAGTAAAGACAGAAAGTTAAGTTTGGTCGTACACAAACGAACACAGGGTGGGTGGTTGTGTTGTATTGGGAAGTATACAAATACCGAACATACCGAAAACTTCGGTAAGGTATTGAAGTCCATACCGAACGTACCGGTATTTTCGGTAAGGTATTGAAGTCCGTACCGAACGTACCGAATACTTTGGTAAGGTATTGAAGTCCATACCGAACGTACCGAACATCCCGGTATGGTATGGCAGTCCATACCGGTACCATACCGGCGATACCAGTATTTGTCCGGTATTTCTCCCGAGCGTCGCCCCAATATTACTATTACACGCAATACGCCCCAATACTTACATGCAATATCAATATTGATATCGCCCATCAGAATGTGTGTGCGCACAACAGTAAGAGTCAATCCGAATCCGAGACTCTCCCTATTGAAAATGGAAGGCAGGAGAGAACAGCAAATTAAAAACAACACGGGTCTTCATCTTGAACACGGAGTATAATTTTAATTTTAACTTCAATTTTAGTTTTATGATTAGCCCGGTACCGGTACTCGGTACCGGTATCGCACCGGTACCGGTATTTACATCTTACCGAACGCACCGGTATTTTCGGTAAGGTATTGAAGTCCGTACCGAACGTACCGAACACTTCGGTAAGGTATTGAAGTCCGTACCGAACGTACCGGTATTTTCGGCAAAGTATTCAAGTCCATACCGAACGTACCGAGCATCCCCGGTATGGTACGGCAGTCCATACCGGTACCGTACCGAACATCTCGGTATTTGTAACGAACGTACCAAAAACATCGGTAAGGTCTTGAAGTCCATACCGAACGTACCGGTATTTTCGGTAAGGTCTTGAAGTCCGTACCGAACGTACCGAACATCTCGGTACGGGTATACCGGAGGTATAATACCGCTGGTACGCCTCAGTATGTACCTTACCAAACACGCCCGCCCTTGGTATTTTTTACTTTTCATTTTTTCAACACTTTCACTTTTGGGGACGCAGAATACTGAAAAATGAGTAGGCTGTCTTTCGACGCTCGTTGAGGAGAACAATGGTCTGCGGGAGGAAGGAGTGG